AATGTAAGTTTAAAGTAAATGTAAGTAACCTGGAATAGTGATAAACAACATATTTTTTCAAAATTTGCGGACACATTATGAATATGATGTCCATGTTTTTTCTCAATTCATCAGCTACTTCGAGAGAACAGTCTCGAGTGGCATCGTCCACAAGGGAGTGTTTGGACTTTTGTGGCTTTAGGACCCCGGTGGACCATAATTGCTCGTGCAACTCTGTTTCAGTATATACTTTGTATATTTATACTCTGCAACACTTTGTATTAAAAAACATTCTTCCATTATATGTATATGCACTATAAAAAATTGTTATATTCGAAAAAACAGCGAATTTACTTATTATAATATTTGTAATAGCTTGACATAAATATGTTAACAATGATAAAGTCAACAACATATAGATAATCTTGTTTCTCTATTATCATTTTGTACTGTTTATGTAATGTTGTTATTTATAAAAATCCTGAAAAAAATCTTATTAAAAAAGTAATCTGGAAAATTGCGTTAATTATCTGTAAACTAACAGGCTAATATCAAAGTGTATAAGAGTTAAGAAGTTACAATTTATTTGCTAACTGTCACCAGCTGAGCTTTCATTTCTTATGTTGGTATCTGAATATCAGTGTATGATGTACGTGTGACATACCTTTTATTTAGAGTTTACTACAAAATAATAATCTCAATGCCCTTCTCTTAAACTGAAAACTCCGTATGTTACAGGTGATATTGACAGAGAACACAGCTCCTTGTGCACTTCAATCGATTGAGAAAATTTTATTCTGGTAATGTACACAATCAGTAGCTAAAATCATCTGTTACATTAAATCAAGATTGAATTTTGTAAAAGGGTATAATCCTTTAAAATGTTTTGTACATATATTGAACAACTGAATAAAAGATTTACAAGAGCTTCTTAACTGAAACAAATGATTAATGAAAATAATTAGCAGTCAGTATTGATTAAAAATATTAATGAATTTTGTTGGAGGAAAAAACATCCGTCAAACATTACAAAACAGGAGCAGATGATACTTAATTAAAAACTTCAATTTATTAATCTAAATTAGTCGAACGCATGGCCCTATCCGGATTCCATACTATCCGGATTCCATATGAACGGGATGTGTTAGTCACACACAGACTGAATCCACTGTAACTGAATTGTTGTCTGTTTGATCGAGATGCAAATTCCACCTAAAGTTTTACCAAAGCAATTTTATTTGTACTCATTCATTAAAAATTCAATTTCTTATTTCTTCTTTAAAATAATAGACAATATGATAAACCTGGACATAAATTAGGGTCAGATTAAATACATTATTTAAGATTTGCCATAGTTGAAATAATCTTGTGAATTCTCTGTAGGACTGCACCAGAGACTTAAATGGATTATTTCTATATCCAGATCCATGTCGGGTCTAGAGCAGTACCATATACATGTAGTTCTTATTAATCTTAATGTTATTTCAGGTTGCTCCAGATGTTAAAGTAATGGGACAGATTCAGACAAAGATAATGGGGAGACAACTCACTGCTGGTCTTGTGAATGTGTGTGTCTCACTTCTATGTGATATGTAGACTTATAAACAGAGTGGCATGATGAAAGGGATTGACTAAAACATTGATGTGGAAGTCAAAACACTGAACTATGTGAGCTGAGCCTTATGTAACCATTTTGAGACATATATGTTCCCTTGTGTGTTGTGGGGAAAATCCTCCTCATCCACTTGTCAAAAGTAACAATCCACATATTGCTTTGTGGAGCATAATTTTATGTACAGTCTATATCAATGCATAATTGATAGATCTGTGACTTTCCGAATGCTTCACATGTACACACACACAAATATCTTATTGAACAACCTGAAGAACATGATATTTGTCATTTGGTGAAGGATGTTAATCATATTTTACTTAAGAAACATAATATGTCCCAATTAAAAAGAGTTTAAAAGTAAATTTTATCTAAATTAAATATTAACGCCATTTTAACGTAATTAAGCTTGTCAAATTGGTATAGAACTATGCAGATTACTGTTCAGTTTTTAATGAAGGAGGAACATCGAGAGTCTTGGTTGCCACCCTGATACATTACAAATTTTCTCCAAATAATAACATAGTGATTGTCCTTAGTCATTAGGTAGGGGATATTACAATTTTCTTTATAAATCAAGGTTTGAAATGTGTACAAATAACAAGTGTACAATTGATTTTTTATATCTAAGGGCATTTTAAAATCATGTTCCTATTTAAATGATGAATGTATGGATTCTGAAATATTTGATTTGTTTCAGAATAAAAGTGATATTTCTGTACAGTTTCTGTTTTTTGGTTTTTTAAAACAAAGATTAATAAATTCTACATGGTCACAGCTTATTAATGTTCATTACTCATGTTTTTAAAAAGTTGCTTTTGATGACAAAATGCTACAATGAAATGTTTAAGAAAAAAATTGATTTTTTTAAACCTTCACTATAATTAGACTCTCACGGCAAAAGACCTGTGTAAAGAATGTGTACAGCAAGGTGATAAGACAGGATCTGGGATTTTACCCATTTATATAATGCAACTGTACAGCAACTACAATACTACTACATGGATAAAATATATGACTTTCTCCTCTGCTCCTGGGTATTAAGCAGATGATCCAAGAACATAGTTATTACGAGCAATGGTCTTTCTTTTAGGAAATGAAGTAATGCTTTGAAATCTTTCTCTTGGCAATAATCGAAAATTTATGATGAGCAAGGGTGCCCATTTTTCCTTTTGGGGGCACTACAAATTTTTGCTGATTGATTACTGATAAGTTGAAATTGAATTTTTGGCTCTCAACTCTATCTATGGGTATTGAGTAAGCACACTAAGCATTCTTAGTGTATAGTTACATGTTTGATGAGTAATGTGGTACCGCTTTTAAAAATTGTGAATGTCATAGTCTGGATTAAAACAGAAACCAACTTGTGCAATTGTTAAAAAGTTTTCACATGATGCTCAGGTGACCTGTAAAGCTCATAGGCCTCTTATTTGTCAATTGCTACTAGCTAAGCTTTGTATCCTTCAAGTTATTATCTCTGTCTGTGCTTGTCCGTACAGTTACTTTATTATTATGTGGAAGATTTGAGAGTTTGTTACAATGATCATAGTTTTGATGCCTTGGTAGGTTTCTGTAGATTGGTGATTACCGTACATACATATGTTGGTTTTAATGCTTTTGTTTATAGTTTGTTACCTGGCATTAGTCTGAGTGCCCCCTTTGTTAATCTGAAGGCTCAAGATGTTACAAGTGATATTGGCAGTGAACAACAGCTTTCTGTGCACATCAATCGAGAGTTTTATTCTGCTAAAGTGCACGATCAATACCTAAAATCTGTTACATGAAATCAGAGTGATTTTTGTTCAAAAATGTACTTTTAATGATAAAAGTTTAACTATTTTTATCTGTGTGGCACAGTGGATAGAGCTCCTACTCTAGAGTTGCGAATTAAGGAATTGATCGTTACGTAGCAGGTTCGAATCCCACTGTCATTTGTGGAAACTGTTCCTTCGGACAAGACAGTATAAACAGGTCCCGTGTTGCAGTAGATCCTGGCACGAAAAAGATCCCTTACTGCTTCATATCCTGAGTGCTGAGTATAGGACAAAATTTGTAGCTGTTTAACGGCAAAAGTAGGAGTGAAAAATTCTCGAGAGGGACGTTTTACAACATACAATCAATCATTATTTGAGAAGAATTTAAAAGACTTTCTTTATTGAAACAAAAGATTGAAGAAAAACCATAGACAGTCATTATTGTTTCAAACGTTTTTTTCAAAATATTGTTGGAGGAAAAATAAAGATATTTGTTGCTGGTGTTTGGGTGAAAGTTTATTTAAAATTTCCTCAGTCTAATAATCAAATGAGTAAATAACTTTTATAGTTCATGGAATAAATGCAGGATATATGGAATTACGAACAGTATTCAATATCAAAGTCCATAAAACAATACAAAATAGGAGCAGAGCAAACACGGATCTCCGAAACACCAGAGGTAAGATCAACCCTGAATTTGACCACGGAATGTTTTATCTACCTTTTCTATACTTAGGGCTCGCAGTGACCAGTCAACAAGGGATGCGTACTCCTCCTAGGCACCTGATCCCACCAGGCGTCTGTGTCTAATGCTCTCTTTACATGTTTTTACAGGTTTTTGAGATTGAACACTGTTCATTTTCCTCACCGTTTTTATCAAATTTAGCAGAAAAATCGGTTATGAAATAGAAAACATGCCTTAGTTAACTGCTCCACATTTTGAGTCTTTTTATCTAAATGTAGTTCATTATTATAAATGGTGCAGAAAGTCACGGTTAAAGAAGTAACTTCAATCAAAGACTCCTGTAACCTGCTCTGGTTATTTGACCTACTCTATTTATTTTGATAACAATATTTCTTTTCCTATTGATTCTCTCTAATTTTTTATCATTGAAAATTAAACTTTTATTATCTGCCTTGCTGATTGATGCAGAGGGTGAAATCAGTAAAAAAAAAATCCCTTATTTTCTAAAGCAGATTCTTCTTAAAGGTAACACTAAAATTCGTTTATTAGAATGATAAATTCATTTATTTCCAAGTTATAGACAAAAGAATTGAAGTTGGACATACCTATGGGTCAAATTTTAAAGCCTAGATTTGTCTATCGGAAACAAATTAAAAAAGATCTCCATAATACATCAAAGCCTGATATTCAACAATGATATTACTGCATCTTCGTATTTTAGGTATCAGGATTGGTTATTAACACGATATATGACACACCATTTTCATTGAAATAAAGATGGGATAAATGTTTCCACAAAGCTACTGAAGAACAGCAGAGTCAACGAAACTTAGGTGAGCATTGATTCCCATGGACCACTTTTTAAAAATCAAAATATCTGTCAAAGACTTTGCAAATAGAAACAAGAATGCATACCCTATTAGGTAATCTTTAATATTTCTTTGACATTTATTTTAATGATAAAGTAATCTTATAGAAGGACCCCCACCTGCTCTATTCTCATTTCTGTAGCTCTTTGTATATAATGGAATGGTTCTTGTTTGAGAGATTGTTGGTATGAGGATAAAGCAGCCTGGAGGTTCCCTGTCACCTGTTGACAGATCCCAAGAATCTGCCACGATATGTCTTTAAGTGGTACAGGTATTAGCTGTCCTTGATCATAGTGAACTAAGGTCTGTAGATCATTTAGAGCTGTGTGTACTCTCATTGTGTCTACATGTCTGTTGCACAAGATCTCTAGCATGTATAACAGTATCAAGGGTGGGATACATAATGTAGGCCCATTGTTCTGTACAACAGACTCTTGTTCTGGTATCAGTTCACTAAAGTAATGGATTTTATTGTCAAGTCTGATATCCCATGCTACAGCTTGTCTCATCTTTGAAGACCAGGACTGTCCCCCTACAGCCTCAGTATACATCGTTGTATCTACATTAAACCCATACATCACATAAGGCTGTGCTAACTTGACCTTGATCATATCGATAATAGATAAAGCTTCCATGTATCTAAGTGTCTTGTAATAATACATGGCTATGTACATTATGTCAGTAATAAAACCAAACTTGGCTGCTAATTTCAGCATGTGAAAGGAGATTTTGTCAGCTCTATACCTCAGTTTGTTTTTATGTGCGTAAGTTTCCATGTGTATTATTATAAATGCTGTTTTCTGAAGGACTGAAGCTAAAAGTTTCTCTAATTGGAGGACTTGATACTGTGTCAGGAGGGATGAACCTATCATATATTCTATTGTATACAGATATCTCGTACATCTTTGTACATCAAAATTGGTTAATTTGTTAAAGTGGTATATTTCCTTAAATAGATTTACATCAAACTCAGCCTCAGAAATTAGAGTAAGTTCATCTGTGTTGATAGAGGATATTTGGTTATAAAGGACATTTATAATGTAAGATCTAATGGAGGGACTGAGTAGCAGAAACGCTAAACCCTTCTCATACAACCCATATAGTCTGGTAAATAATTGATGTTGTATGTTGCCATGAATTTTACTCAAAAACATGTTGTTATCTGGAATGAAAAAGTTAGGACAGACCCCCTCATAAACCCATTTGAGGATGAGTTTAAAACAGACCCAGAAACACTCCAGGAGGTTTTGTGGACACCATTTGGGTATTATATGTTGTTGAATCACCCAGAAAACTGCTGTCTTCATATGATAGGAGCACAAAAATTTATCATCATTGCCTACCATTTTGTTAATTATTTCTGTTAAAAACAATTTAAGCAAGCCATAAGTTAAGAATTGACAGTTGTTCATTGAATACACTAGTTTTTGTTCTGCAAGAGAAAAAGAAAATCTCCATTCATGGTCTTCATGACTTCCAAGCTTATGCCCTATTGCTACAAAGTGACAACCATTTTTTGCTATATCATCAACAACACGAGGCTGGGGCCATGAGTGACATCTGTCCATCCACGAGGAGGCAGATGGAGGCCAAAAGTCACAAACAAAGCAGTGAGCAGTATCATATTCTAGTGTTCTATATGTTCCACTGACACAAGGTCCATGCTGAGTTGAATTTGTTATTGATGTAGAACACATGATCTGTCTGTATATAGAACTAGATATATAATGTCTGTTATTCATTCTAACACAAGCTCTTGGGATGTCTCTGTCCATGCTTGGTGACAGTAAATATAACATAGAGTATCCTGGTGGACTGTCAGAGCAGTCACAGAGGATCAGTGTTTGCCTGTGTGTGTTATAATACCGTGACTGAGATAAATCCCAGAGCACACGATGATTATTTGGCCAGAGCATATAGTCTACATCTGATCCTTCCAGTCTGAATCCTTCTCTCTGACTTCCACTAAACATCACACTGGTCTCTTCACTTGTTTTCACTTGATTTCTCACCATATCCCTGATGTCCATCACATCTTTCCTCATTGCCAACACTTGCGAGGTCCCCACTTTACAACACAGTCCCAAAAACACTGACTCTGATATATGTTTTATGGCTGTCCTACTGGTAAAAATTAAGGGATAATTTATTTATCTAGTATGAATGTGACTATTGTAAATCAATATACAATGATATCATCGGGAACACATTTTTTAAAATTCTTTTATATATATCTGAAAAGCACATATATCATAAGGTATACGTATTTCAACATTTCAAAAAAAATTAAGAAATATGTAGATTTATATTTTTCTTTTTACATGCGTTGCGAATCCAGTGATTAATCTTTGATTTTAAGGAAGCTTTTAAACACTAATTACCATTTCTTTTTGGACATCGCAATAAAGATTTCCATAAAAATATGCAAATATTACCAATTCTAGATCAATTTCAACGTAGTTATAAGGTAACTGTCATATTTCTCTAGGAAAATGTTCATAGACAACGAACTATATAAAAAAAATCAATTTTTACTTACATTTGAAAAATAAATGAAAAATTATATATTCTTATGCAACTATTCTGTAAAATGCAATTTTAGTACATTGATGTTTGAGGCAGTAAAGGAGGATGATTTTTTTTATGATCAGGGTAATCGTAATCAGTTGTTATTGAATATAGTTTGCCAAATAATCATGAGTAGTCTGTAAGCATCCATCTTTCTTATTACAAGTTATCGTAATTTAATCCATTACTCTAAAAAAAAGTCTTGTGATCATGATTTCTTTCTGATTACTTTATGATTACAATGAATGAATGAAGGATATGGAAATAACGAACAGTATTCAATATCAAAGTCATAGGCTCTTGGGTCAAGGATACTTAATATTCTCTATATAATGTATTGCCGAGGAAATTCGAACTATGGTCATCATTTTTTTTTTCAGTGTGCAGTGTTGATATTTTACAGTATCCTTGACTCAAGCGCCTATGATCAAAGTCCATAAAACAAAACCAAATAGTGGCAGAGCAAACACGAACCTCTGAAACATCAGAGGCGGGATCAGGTGCCATTGAGGAGTGAGCATCCCCTGCTGACCGGTCACACCCACCGTGTGCTCCTGCAGATCGAATCAACTGAGATATACATTCTCCATATGCAGGTGATGAAGGTGATATATTAAAAGAAGTTCATAATATTATGGTCAGTGAATTATATTTAGTGAATATTTTTCAGTGTAATTTTTTTTTTAAAAAGCAAATATTGTGATCAAGGTTATAGGTTATATCTATAGCTTTATCTTCTTTTGCATTCAGAAATACTTCTAACCAGTTTCATTGACCAGGCAATTTATAAAATTTCTCAGTTCCTAGCTATATTCAGTTGTCATTAAAAAATAATTTTGAATCGAAACAACTCGTCTTGTGTGGCTAGATTTAATTTTATGTACTGAGACAAATTGCTAAGGGATCATTTTAAATTTTTTGTTTCAATTAATAAGTACGCAATACAATGTTTTACCCTCTTAAACACAGTAAATCTTTAAATATATAAGTAAATTTTTATCCAATGTATCTTTCTGAAGTGTATTCTGAAAACCATAACTTTGTTTGATTTACTAGGAATTAGTTAATTTATTAGCAATAAAATACAGGTGTACTCAAGAAGGGTCAATAAAAGTGAACTAATTATGCTTGTCCAGTCAGGGCTTCACATTCACCAATCATTTGAAGGTTATTATTAATATGATTTATCAAAACCTAAAAAGAAACTAATTCAGATAATTCAAGCATTTTTATACATATACTGAAAGGAAAAAGAAACGCATAATAGCATAATAGCGAAAAATATTTTACTATGTGGCCGAAAATTATGAAAATTGGTCAGATGTATATTTTGGTTAATTTGCACTAAAATCGCTGGTCAAAATTACTCATCCATGAAATGTAAGGTGTCACGTATGGGAAGTGATAAAAAGCCAAATACACGTGCAGGTTGATGATGATAATTTTGTGCTCACATTTTGAAGAGCCAAGAGATGCATTAGAGTTATAGACATCATTTTCCGATATTTGCAGTCAGTATAAATTTCTTGCAATCATGGTATGGATGACGGAAGTTACATGGAGTCTAGTAACTGAGTTACATAAGTGAATAAAAAGGCAACAACATGTTGCTGTGCAGTTTGTTTTTAACTTTTCAACCAAAAAAGATATTTCGGTTGTTAGAGAGTAACTTAAAAGGTTTCCAACCAACCATGAGGGTGACGTTGGCGCGTAACAACGTCACATCAAGATACGGTTTTTCATCATGCTACCTCGGTTATTTTCAAGTCATTATCACTAAAACCGATATTTTTACGGCAGGCAATACTACTCATATTTTCACCCTAATACTGACAGAAACTCTCTGCTCTAATTTGGTATGCAAGCTTGGCAACTTTACGTCGATTTTACTCTCATACGCGCACGTACACGCCGTATGCGTAATGTTTTTAGCATGTTCACGCTGAGAAAATGTAGCCAGTGTTTTTCGATACTTCCTTACAAACATCAACGTGTACCAAATCAGCTAGATTCTGTAAATTCTATCCTAAACCGAAAATTCATGGGATTCATTGGGCGGGGGGATTTGTTTTCTTTGGAATAATACAGCTACTCTCAACCATTAAGACTACCGTTGGAAGGCTTGAAAGATAATCCTTGAGAAAGATAAATGCTCTGGTGAACTCGATCCACAAGAAAATCAAGGTTGTTACTGATGCGCAAGGGAGATGATGAGAATTTTTATTTTAATTTTGGGGGTATCGACATATCAATTTCAATGACTCAGGAATTATCAGTCAAAGTCACACAAGATTTCGGTTACTTGTTTTTTAAAGTTGAATTAAAATATATGATAACAATACCGGAAAACATATTGGAAATAAAAGTTTTAGTTTTATTTAAAAGTTTATTATGCGTTTCTTTTTCCTTTCAGTATATATTTCTTCATTAAAACTTACATTGAATAATTGTGTGAGCCCCTTATGGAGTCCATGTTGAAAGGTAAGATCTGAAAATCTGAAAAGTTCCAGGTGCTTTATCCAGTAAAGAAAAATCAATCTACTTTCATTTTAATTTATTACTTTTTGTGTCATTGAAGATAAAAACATGGATTGGCATTTCTGACAAGCAATAAAAATAAGAAGGATATGGAGATAATCTCAAAGTCCATAAAAAATACTGTTATCTCCATATTCTTCCTCAACGAAAAAACTATTCTATAATTACAGCGAATTAGAAAATAGTGGTAAGGTTTTCAATAGCTTGCTGGATAGCTCAATGGGGTATAGAATCTGGTCTAACAAGTATCACATAAGGTTTGAATCTAGGTCATGGGGTTACTAATTAATCATTAGTTTTTACAGGTAAATGTGAGCTAATTACTACCAGAATGATAGGATCGCAGCATTTTTCAGAAATTACAATGCATTTTGAATATATGTTTAAACTAAACTTAGAATTTTAACTTGGTTATGCCCTTGCACTAGTGAAATTTATAGATTACCTCAATACTGCAAGTAAATGTTCCTCATTACGTGACTGCTGCATCACGTGACCAGTCTAAATATAAAATCTTATCGTACTCAATGTGTAGTTATTGACCATAATTTCAATTATTTTATATAAATAATATACTAAAAATAATCGCCATTCCGATTATGAATACACTTTAATTACAAAATGTTGTAGATATTTCCATTGCAAACCTTAACTGTACTGCGTATTATCGTTAGATAAATGTACACTTTCTCATCCTGCTTTACAAAACTTATGTTTAGTTTGAATGCAATGATTTTATTAATTTATTTTAGATAAGGGAATTCAATGGATTTAGGTACATCATGGAAGAAGCCATCAAAGGTGACTTTGCCCTGATCAAGGCACACAAGGCAGAAAAAGTAGGAAACCTCACCTTTAGGTTAGTAGATCAAGGCACACAAGGCAGGCAAAGTAGGAAACCTCACCTTTAGGTCAGTAGATCAAGGCACACAAGACCAAAAAAGTAGGAAACCTCACCTTTAGGTAAGTAGATCAATGCACACAAGACAGACAAAGTAGGAAACCTCACCTTTAGGTCAGCAGATCAAGGCACACAAGACCAAAAAAGTAGGAAACCTCACATTCACACAAGGTAAGTAGATCAAGGCACAACAGGCATGCAAAGTGGGAAACCTCACATTTAGGTTAGTAAACAAGAGGCCCATGGGCCTTATAGGTCACCTGAGCATCATGCAACAACTTTCAAATGATTGAATAAGGTTCATGTTTTAAGCTAGATGTTATAGCATTCACAATTTTGAAAGATGCACCATTGCTAATCATAACTATACACTAAACAATTGTTATTTTGTTTAGTTAATACCCATAAGCAGGTTAGGGGAACAAAAAATGCATTTCAACTAATCAGTAATATTCCGCAATAATCAAAAGTGCCCCTATCACACATGAACTCCTGACCCTAGGTCTACACATTGCACAATTTTCAAAAAGGCAAGCTTGCTTATCAAAAATGTTTGATTATTACCAAGGAGCAGATTTCAAACAATTCATTTTCAGTATATAAGTAGAGCCACCTCCTTCTTTGGTATCCCTGACCAAGGGGCCTTGAAATTCACAATTTTGGAAGAAGAGTCCTTGTACACCATAACTTTATAAGTAGGTCATCTGCTTATTACCTAGGAGTAGAGAAAAAGATTTTCATAGATGGAATTTATTTTCACGATATAATCATTATAGAGGCAATCGCTTACACCATAACCCCTGATCCTGGGGCCATAAAATTCACAATTTTGGTATAGACACTCTTTTTCATCATAACTATGTACTTAATTAGTTTATTTGATACTTAGGAACAGAGCAGAAAATTTTCAAAGAAATAATGCATATTTTCACTATATAATCAATAGAGCCCCACCCTAAGACCAGAACTCCTGAGTCTGGGGCCATAAAATTATCAATTTTGGTAGAGGCACTCTTGCTCATCACAACTATAAATTATTTAGTTAGTTTATTCAAAACCCAGAAGCAGAGAAGAAGATTTACAAAGAATTAGTGTATTTTCACTATATAATCAATAGAGCCCCGCCCTAACACCAGAGCTTTCAGATGCTATATAATAAAATTGGCTAAACTGGTTCAGCAATTTCAGAGAAGAAGCTGAAAATATTCAAATGTTAACGCATGCCGGACGAAAACATAGAGCAATAGGTCATCTGAGTTTAAAAAGTAGGAAACCTCACCTTTAGGTTAGTAGATCATGGCACACAAGGAAAATTAAGTGGGACATCTCACTTTTAGGTCAGTATGTCTACAAAGGCAACTCCAGTACCTTTTTATATAGATCAAGACACAAGACAGTATGTCAAGATGCACAAAAGGTAACTCCACCTTAAAGATATGACAAGACACTATATAAAAAAAGTGATATAAAGGAACCTTTTATCTTTGGTGAAAGTTCTTGCTTTATAAGGCTAAGGAAAGTATTTGAGTAAGCTATTTTCTTTTTGTAGAAAGACAGCTCGTAATTTTAACCCCCCGATGTGTAAGGCTGGGCGGATCACGATTGCAGAAGTAGAGGAGATTGTGGAAGTAGGAGAAATTCCACCAGAGGACGTCCACGTTCCACATGTTTACGTACAGAGAGTCATAAAAGGACCCAGCTATGAAAATGGATAGAGGTAAAAATAACAGTAAAATTGGGATAGAGGTAAAAATAAACAGTAAAAAGTGGATAGAGATAAATCATCAACAGTAAGTAGGATAAAGGTAATAATAAACAATAACAAGAGGCCCAGGGGCCACATCGCTCACCTGAGCAATTGGCTAATAAAAAGTACATATCAGATCAGAACTGAAAGTTTAATGAGGGGGGAGGGGGAGGGGGCCTGAATTTTAACCCCCCAGGGGGTCATGATTTGAACAAACTAGAATCTACACTACGTGAGGATGATTCCCTATAAATATCACTACCCATTGCTTTGAAGTACTTGAAAAGAAGATTTTAAAAGGTTTCCCTAATATATAATCTTATGTAAAACTTTTATTGGCCATTTGGCCCCACCCTACCCCCGGGGGTCATGATTTGAACAAAGTTAAATCTACACTACCTTGAGATGATTTCACAGGAGTTTCATCTTTCCTATATTTATTCCAGACTTTTCATATTTAACTCTTTACAAATTACCGAAGTCTTATGCAACATACGTTAGAAATAGGAAATGGTATATGCGTTAAAATGCGTGACTGCGGGGAAGGGTGATGTTCCTATGTAAAACTTTGATCGGCAAATTGTGGCCCCATCCTACCCCCGGGGGTCATAATTTGAACAAACTTGAATCTACACTACCTGAGGATGATTCCACATGAGTTTCATCTTTCCTGGCCCAGTGGTTCTTGAGAAGATTTTTAAAGATTTTTCCTATGTATTCCTATGTTAAAATTTGATCGGCCATTTTGGCCCCACCCTACCCCCGGGGGTCATGATTTGAACAAACTTGAATCTACACTACCTGAGTATGATTCCACGTGAGTTTCATCTTTTCTGACCCAGTGGTTCTTGAGAAGAAGATTTTTTTTAAAAATGCTATTAATTTTTCCCTTATCATAAGGTAGACAGAAAATTACCTATTGATCACATTATATAAAGTATCATATAATAGAATGTTAATTATTAACTACATTATATTAAGTATTACATGGTTAACAGAAACTTAACTATTGAAGACATTTTGTACAGTATCATATGATAGACAGAAAGTTAACCTTTGACGACATTATAAAAAGTATCATGAGACTAAATTTATTTACAAAGAGTGCCTTTGAGACATTAACATATGAAGTATTGTTAAGTTGAATGATAGTACAACACATGATGAAGCTCTAGATATATTGTACAGATTCAGCAAATCTGAATTATGTGGGTTTATTCTGTCATATGACTTCAACCAATCTAAGTGTTCTTTCTATTTCTGGTCAAATAATTTCAACCAATCTGAAAGTTGATTATTTGCTATTAGTCATTAGTCTAATAATTTTAGCAAATCTAAATCATGTAAATTTTGTTTATATTTCTCGTCAAATATTTTCAGCCAATCTCGGTATTGGAATGCCAATGTTGGCCAAAAATCATATCCCACCAGGAATGACCGTCCATCTGCAGAGTGAAAACGGAATCATGGGATTGGTTAGTCTCCTAATTATCTTGCATTATGTGTAATAATTTAGCCTGAGATAATTGTGATTTGAGATTAATTTTATGTCCCATTATTAATCCGCGAATCATAAGCTTCTTAAACCCCCACATTATATTGAAGAAAATACAGGTAAATCAATCCATTTTTTCCTTAAACTTCAGTATGCTACCAAAGGAATTGAAGCAGTTTATATATAAAAATAATATTTTTAATCACAGAAGGGTCCAGTCTTATTCTAATATTCCATCATATATCAAATTCAAGACTAAACCTCGTATTTCCTACTAAAATACATCGACTATTGTTTCCATACGTTTTAATTACAAGAAACCTTTACAGGACAGGGAGATTAAATATCTGAGACATAATCCATTTTTACAGAGGAGATATTAAGTAGACCATACTAGGGGCATTTCATGTTTCTCCTTTAATTGTGTGACTGATATTGTTTTTACAGAGGACATATAAACTTGACCATACTCGGGGCATTGCAAGTCTCTCGTTATGGAGATTTGGCCAACTGGATGATTCCGGTAAGCTAGAAAGAGTGCATGATGAAATTAAGTTTAACCTTGATGGTAATTTATAAATGAAAACTTGTGAATTCAATCTAAAGAAAACATTTGGCGTAATCAGTTTCTCATATCATAACTTGACACTAATGGGTTATCTGTGTGTTGCACAGACTTGGTTTATGGACAGTTTTTCTTGTTGTGCTGATCTATGTTGCCTGATTATTTTAGGGTCGGTTGGTCAAGGGAATGGGTGGAGCTATGGATCTGGTGTCCAGCCACAAAACTAAGGTTATTGTAACCATGGAGCATCAAGACAAGATTATAAAGTATTCCTACTTATGTTTGCTTATTCAAAACCTTATCAATATGTTTGAAGCTTGATTATATATCAGTATTAACTGATTAAGTGTTGATATATTTCAGAAAGGAAACAGTAAGATAGTCAACAGCTGTAATCTGCCCCTGACGGGTAAAAACTGTGTGGATATGATCATCACAGACAAGGTATGGCAATCACTGACGTTCATAATGATATAAATCTGTAATTAGAGATACTGTAAAAATGTAAAAAAAAAATAACTCTGGGAGAGGCCCTTATATTCTTAATGGTGAATGTGGTTATAATCCTATATATTTCAGTGTGTGTTTGATTATATTTCTTTATATTTCAGTGTGTGTTTGACGTGGACTCAGAGAAAGGGCTAATTTTAACGGAGATTGCAGAAAACGAAGATGTCGCCAGCATTGTTGGTGCCAGCAACTGTGAATTGTGGTAGGTACACGTTAACTACTCCTTATAATAATTGAGTTTACAGTTACGTGAATTTCTTTTTTAAAAATCAAATTAATGAAAAATTAAATGACATACTATTCCATGTGTGTAGGTTATTAAATTGAAAAAAAAAATTGAATGACTCAAATTTACACAGATATTGCCTTTAGATAGTGTATATGATTCATTTATTAATAAATGACTTACCTGTATACAACTTGCAAAATTTCCTATATTTGAAATAATCTTGTGATATCCATTTGAGAATTCCCTATAGGACTGCACCAGAGAGTGAAATGGATTATTTCTATATCCAGATCCATGGCATGTCTTGAGCAGTACCATACAATTCTTTTTAACATTAATCTTATTTCAGGTTGCTCCAGATGTGAAAGTAATGGGACAGATTCAGACATAGATAATGGGGAGACAACTCACTGATGATCTTGTCAATGTGTGTCTGACTTTTATGTAATATGTAGACTTGAAAACTGGGTGTCATGATGAAAGTGATTGACTTAAACATTGATGTGGAGGTCAAAACACTTAACTCTGTGATCTGAACCTCGCATAATCATTGTGAGATATACATGTTCCCTTGTGTATGTGAAAAATCCTGCTCTTCTACTTGTCAAAAGTAATGTTCGACATAAGAACAGTAAATATTTCTTTGTGGAGCATAATTTTATGTACAGTCTATATTAATGCATAATTGATAGATTTATGACTTTTCCCATGCTTTTCACACACAAAAATTATCTTATTGAACAACTTTAAGAACATGATATTTGTCATTTGATGAAGGATATAAATATCATATTTCACTTAAGAAACATAACCTGTCCTGATTAAAAAGAGTTTTATCTAAATTAAATATCAATGTAATTTTAAAGTAATTAAGCAGATTCGCAGCATTGTTAAGGCTGAAATAAGGAGGCGGGGCCTAATTTATACGGGAAAAATTTACTGTTACATCACCCTAAAATATGACTTTTATGTATTCCTCATAATACCAGAAAATGAAATAATTTGCAACTTTCAAACTGCATAAGCATAATAAACAACAATAAAAGTTTTCAATGCATTTAAAAAAATTTGCTAGTTAAATCCCATTCAGGTGGTTATTAACAGATCACTGATCTCGATGAACTTGATAAAAATGACGTACAGCTGTATCACATGTGCTGTGAGAGGCAGATTGAGGAATTTTTTAACAAGAAAAAATGCGTTTTATTATAAAACATAATGTTATTTACAGGTGTTAAACAGGCTATTAATACCAATGTTTATCCTTTGTTCGGAACGATTATTCGACATTAACTATCGAGAGAATGCATTTAAATAATTTGTCGTGTTTTTATGGTCAGATAAGGTATATTTTACATCGAGACGCCTCATACAATTGTTCTTTTGCAAGGGCATACACTAAATAAATCTTAACCATTTTTGAATACAAATAAAGGATATGTTTCCTAAATTGAAAAGTGCTGCTGCTTTCTTTAAATCGAGAGGGTGACTTTATAGGTACACCAAATATTTCGACATGGGCATATGTATTTGAAATTTTAACTATTAAAACGCTATTTCTATTTAAAGCAGCAGCACTTTCCAGAAACTACGGAATGTTTTATCTACCTTTTCTATACTT